CGGATTGACAGTAGAACGTGACTGACGATGGGGCATTATCCTATGGGGAACTGCCGGTTCATGGGCCTGTCCTCGTGTCTGAGGTTTCACAGGATGAACAGATGACTTTTCAACCTTAACATTCGGAATTGGTCCCGACTTTCCAAAAAATCTGTACAGAATGGTATATGACATGTACACATAACCACCCGGTTTTCTCGACCTTGACCTCCTCCCTTGTTTTTGCTTCCATTCAAAAGTGCCTAATCAAAACAGCGCATCAATATCAGGATTTATGAAAGTGTCTTACACCGATTGCATGCAAAAACCATGGATATAAACCAATTCTATAAATGTAAAACTACATAAAATAACTTTTTAAATGTACCCAACATATGTCTAAGTTTTAAAGGTATTTTTAAGTGACTTTTTTTGCAAAACATTTTTTAACTTGTTTAGAAATCACTTTTAGAAATCACTTTTTGGGTGGGCTTTCTGACTATTGGGTTTTTTGATACCCAATAAATCTCGGGTAATGATGTTAAATAGTGTCGGATTATATTTCATTGGCCTTAGCCGATGAGTGAAATAAATATCAATCAATCAATCTATATGCTCGACCCGGAAGCAATGTGGACACTAGTAGCAGCTTAAATGTGTTAATGTTGTCTTGGCCCAAATTTACTTATAGGATGGCTTTCTTGTGTCTTGGCCCATTTGTCGGATATTGGCCAAAGTCAAGAAACCTATACAAACCTGTATATATCATTTTCCCTTCTCATTGTAAGTGTCTGATTTGTGTTGTGAATTGAGAGAAAACGGCTGCCTCTTTGTTCTACCATCTTTGTTGTTTTCTCTTCGCCTTAGTGGTTTGCATCATTGTGGGTGAGAAAGGAAGAGAGCAACCATAAGTGAATATTGTTGTGGGTTGAAGTTTTTGGATTGATTGATTGATATTGGTTGGTAAGTTTAATCTGAGCCTGGAATCCACAATTGAATATCTATTCTGCTACACTTACAAAAGTATCTACTTACTTTCTGAGAAAGTACCTTTGAACAAAGTTAAGCTGAAGAGTATTTTGTGAGAACGATTTTTGTTTAATCAGCCAAATCAATTACAAAATGAGAGCACTTGCTGTATATATAGACATAGAAGAAAGCCAATTGTCCAATAGCAAGCTGACAGCTCATCAAAGTGAGAAACGGCACTAACAGAAAATGAAAAAGGAAGAAAACGTAATATGCTAAAATACGACTAATGACTAACGGCTTTATTCCAACGGATATGGAAGCTGGAGATAGGCTAGCTGGATCCTTCATTCTTTCAACCTTTTTACATTTTTTTAGGCTTACCCAAACATGCTCAAATCTCTGATGATAAAATTAGATGTATGTGCAAACCACTGCATGTGGAATTCCTACTCACATATATGGACATTCAAATCGTACAAGGATTAACTAAAAACAAGGATAAAAACAGTTGGAAATTGAGAGAGGTTAAATAACAAGAAAACTTGATTTTCAACAGTCGCCTTCAAACAGAAATATCACAATTGGCATGTTTGACTTAAAACCTTAATATAAATAAAATTTATTTTTAAGCTTAGCCAAATATGCTCGATCATGTC